CCCAAAAATTAGGGCTCCTGGCTGTTTCTGGACCTGATAAAACCGGTTTTCGTGGATCTCTGAGGGACGATTCTCACCTACAGTGGGGGAAATAAGTATTTGTGCCCTTGCTGATTTTGCAGGTTTGCCCACTTACAAAGAATGCTTATTTTTCCTCATCAGATGGTTATCAATTTTTATAAATTCATATGATGTGATTTTCTGGAATCTTCTTTGGGATTCTGTCTTTCAATGTTAGAATGTACATATGATTAAAGTTATAGATCGTTGCATTCTTTGTAAGTGGGCAAACCTGCAAAAAAATCAGCAAGGGGTCAGACATTTATTTCCCCCACTGTATATAATCAGTTAGCAAACTCCTCAGTAGGACAACAATCCCCACAGCCCACCATGAGCTAGCTAACGACCCCATTTGACCATTTTCCACCTCATTCCAGTATCTCATTTGGTACCGAACGATAAGGTCCGTCAGATAGAAAGATCTCAGTCTGTTTCAGAACTTATTTCGGCCCCCGGTCAGCTCTGGATCCTGGACACTAGGTAGTAGAGCATGAAGAAGATTAGCACTAGCCCCCCGGAGACGTAGCACAGCAGGCGCCGGTTGTCCCGCCCGGACCGGACCATCGTGGAGAACCGCTTCACGCTGCCGGTCAGCAGCCCCGTCGCACTCAGGAAGTTCGAGTCCTGAGACAGGAGGAAGAGGAAAAGGGGGGAAAACTATTTAAAACTGCTTAAAATAAAAGCAAACAGTCCCATTTAGACTGCTCATCTTAACAATTTTTACACCATTAAGTTTTTTTTTTTTTTTTTTTTTTTTTTTTTTTGACTGCTCATCTTAACAATTTTTACACCATTAAGTTGTTATCAGAGTATTAGCATTAGCATCTGTAACCAACAGGTCTGTCCTAACCATTAAGTTGTTATCAGAGCATTAGCATTAGCATTAGCATCTGTAACCCACAGGTCTGTGTCCTAACCATTAAGTTGTTATCAGAGCATTAGCATTAGCATTAGCATCTGTAACCCACAGGTCTGTGTCCTAACCATTAAGTTGTTATCAGTGCATTAGCATTAGCATTAGCATCTATAACCCACAGGTCTGTGTCCTAACCATTAAGTTGTTATCAGAGCGTTAGCATTAGCATTAGCATCTGTAACCCACAGGTCTGTGTCCTAACCATTAAGTTGTTATCAGAGTAAATCCCTGTTCAACATGAGTCTGACAGCTATGTAAGTAGATAAATAACTTTAAAAAGCTGGATGGGGACATTCCTAGTTTGAAGGCACCCCAACAAAAAAGGCTCTTTTGTGCCGTTTTAGGAGGTTTTTGACCATAGATGTGATCCTCTTTGTTCAATAGTGCACAAATAGCTATCACAGCTTACATTTGGGATGGGATTAGATTTTTCTTTAGCTTTAAAAGATTTTATTGATTTTTTAAAGAAGAAAAAGCAGCCCCGTCGCACTCAGGAAGTTCGAGTCCTGAAACAGGAGGGAAAGGAAAAGGGGGGGGTGATCACTAACTCAGTGTTTTTCAACCTTTTTTGAGCCAAGGTACAGTTTTTCATTGAAAAAATCCCGAGGCACACCACCAACCAAAAATGTCAAACAAATCTGTAGTAACCTATAGTAACACTATAGTTATTCTTATTTTATTCTTATCTTATCTTAAGTGTCTTGAATAGGAATGACATAAACACAAAAATGTATTTTTATCTTATTTTATATTTCTTCTTTCAAATTGCTCTTAACATGTCCACTTTATTATACAAA